TTTGCTACGGGGTATTTCTTTATGGCATGTTTAAACCTAGCAAAAAATTATTCGGCCATTTCAGCACTCTGTAAGAAGTAGAACACCCGTCACCTTCCGCCCTGGTTATGTACCAGAGTTCGACCAATTTTTGTTAAATAGGAATCAATTAATTTGCAAGAATTTACACTTACTGCCAATATATCGCGCAAAAAAAAAACCCAATCAGGTTGATCCTACGAAAATGTTGTCAAGAGGATCTGGCAAGGCCGCGTCCATATTACTTGTTTTTAACAATATCTTTTTTAACCGATGCGGGAGAAGGCTAATTATATCCCAGTAAAGCCTTTAGGATCGAGACCACAGATGGCTCCTGGGGGAAAATCGCTAACTTGAGATTCAGGGCAGCCGGGAGGCTGAAATTTTAAGGGGATGTTCCCGGCTCACGTATAACTTAAATTTATCAAATCGAGCTCCCCGGACATGCGTGCTTGTCACGTACGGCCCCGCGAAAGTTTTTGGCGGAATATGAGTAACTCGGGAACCAGGAAGGCTGGGAGCCTGAGATTTTAAGGGGAATGTTCCCAACTCTATAGCCCTAACAGTTCTTGGATGCTTGGCTTTGCTCTGACCAATGCTGCACCGCTTAATGGTCAGACCGCTAATACTGGCGATTCTGATGTCCATTTTGTCTTGGTAATAATTGCGAAGAATTTTTCGTGTCGATAAAAATTTGTCTGACATTTATTAAGCAGCATTAAAAAAAAAACTGTCAGAGTGCTCCCTCAGTTCTCTGCAAAAAAATTATGAACATGCAATCATTTTTGCTGCTAAATTCTTGACCGTATTTACAAAACCGATAGCAGCATGAGAAAGGCACTGAAAGGTAATCGATGATAAGCGATGAACTCTTCAAAAGGAGAGGCGAGTGATTATGAGCATAAAAACTAAGCAGTGGAAAGTCAATGAACTCGCCCGTGCTCACTTTTTATGGAAGATGAAGGTATCGGGGATGTCGTTCCTTTACGAAAAATGAAGGTATTGGGGATGTTGTTCCTTTACGGAAGATGTGAAGGTATTGGGGATGCTATTCCCGAGTGACTACTACCTGACAGACACTATTATCAATTTACCATCGAAATTAATCGTAGAGAGGTTGGCTATCTCATCGGTGAAGTCGAACCCTCGAACTACTATGCGATAAAAAGGTATTTCCCATTACGCTGTACCCGCCAACCCAAATTAATATTACGCTAAAAAAGCAGGTATTTTTTCTAACCTATGCGGTATATTACTTATTTTTAGCAATACTTTTTTTTAAGCCGATTGTAGCATCCAGGCTGATCTGGATCAATATTAAAAGGCAGTACGAGCCGTGGAGGCCCTACCCGCACCATATGAATGGAGAACAAAGGACGGAGTAAGGGGAGAGTTAAGAAATACAAATTAAGGTCCGGCCGGAGGCAGGAGACCAAAAATTCGAAAGAGGTGAAGGCCAGAGATTATTGTTAAGTAGGAAATGTGTATAAACCGTTTGACATGTAGAAGGATCATATGAGAAGAGTAGTATTTCAAAGAAGGGCCCAAAATTTTACCATGGTTTTGGAACCCCCAGGATACTATGGATTCGTTGAGGACATTATAAATCCTAGATTCGAAGAACACATCACACACAAACTGCGGGTCTTATCCGGAAGAAGGCTTCGTTAACTTATCCGAAAGAAAGCTACGTCCAAAAATCGCAGTAATAGTTGATGGGCATAGTTCCACCGGCCAAGACAGGTTGCAAAAATTTAGTCTTAACTCAATTTTTTTTTCCTATTATTTTTTCCTCTGCTTATACACCTTCCTTACTTTGGCACCCTAGATCAACATGGA